TGAGCCATTGCAAACCAATATTTCCCATTGCAGGCTGCTCCATCAAACGCAGGCCTCATTTTGATGACCATTCTGGCTCTACTGTTCCTCCTGCTCACGCTGCTTTGCTGTCTGTACCTCTGCGCACGATGCCGGTAAGATGCCTGACTGTCAGATTGTTGGAACAACAACATTTTTGATTTTTAGTTGCTTCGGAGCAAGAGGCATCAGCGAAGGCAGTGCAAGCGGCCGAGAAACACTCGGTTCCGACTACTATACCATTCCTCGTGCTAAACTGAAGCCAGGCGCCCATGCGGTATGATTTATAAGGACTAATTTTGACTAACTGAAAAAAATATAGGATGTTTATTCTCGGGATGAGATAATAGGCCATGACAATACTGCCGTTCTTGGCGCATATGGACGATGGAGCTTCGGTCTCGTCGGACGGCTCTCTGGAAGAGATCGAACGAAGAGTCACCACAGATGTCACCACCCGCGAGATTCGTACTACGACCGTTCGCGATGAGATGGCAACGTAGTCAGCCAAAGTCAGGTCAGTCAACTCCCAATGACCCAATAGCCATTACAATGTCCTCATCGTGAAGCTCAGCCATTCCAGACGGTGTTGCACGATCCGTTCGAGACGGACACCGAGCAGTACGCGGTGACATCGGCAGACCACTTCCGTCAGGCGTCATCGGCCAGCGCAGCTGCTGGAGCCACAGCGGCGTCTCTTCATGGCAGCTCCGGCCTCATCACTTCTGGAGTTCAAGGAGCTTCGATGGGTGGACATATGAGACAGAAGGAGCGGTGAGTGAGCCCTAAAACAGCGCTCCTATCAGGTTTAGCCCTATGAACATGACAAAGCTAATTTTTCAGTACGATTCGGAGTCTGACGCGGATTCCGATGCCGGTCGTGCCACGTACGATCGAGTGACGCGAGTCGCCCAATCGCAACGAATTTAACCTACCCGGCGGCTGAATCCACGAGTGGCAGAAACAGGAACCGAACGACGACGAAGCGAAGTTGTCACCACCACCACTGCTGAAGAAGTCAGCTACTTTTAGGCGGCCTCTATTATAGGCCTCCCTGGGTGCGCATTTGGAAAATGATTACGCATTACTGTTCGTTTTTAGTTGGGCGCTGGTCATCCTTTTGAGAACAAAGACGCGCAAAAAGAGAATCCCAGTTTACAGCTGAGCAGCCTTTTTGATCTAATCGAGGTTAAACGGACCTGAACGCGATCGCTAGAGGGTGGAGCTGTTCCGATGAGGCGTTGGACATCATTGGTGCATAATTCTTGACAGCGCATTGATGGTGTGGTTGAGACAACCTCCCAATGAGGTTTCACAATCACGCTCGACGTCACCATCATCGCTCCGCCCCCTGCCATCGTGGTCACTGCCTTTAAGTGACAAGTTCGCGCCTCCATAAAACGATAGTAGCGCCACATAGCCCTTAGGGGGACGCACATTTATAATCGCAACCGCGAAATTCTTACCAGGGTGCGATAGTGACGGATCCCACGGCAGCGTGCGTTGAGGAATCCTCGACACGTCGGGGGGGGGGGGGGTCGTATCGGCCCGCTGGATGGAAGAGATCGAGCCATTTTGGTGCAGTGGGATCATCACCGTCGGAAGACAAATATCAAGGATGAGTCGATGCCAGGCCAGAGGATTTCCAATGAAAATGATATTTCACCCACACAAAATTTTCGTGATTCTGAGGCGTCCGGTAATTCTTAGTTACTTCAGTGTTTTATCACCACACAAGTTAAAGAATCTGAATTTCGCACGCTTTCCAAGAGATATTTCATCTTTCAAGTAAGACCCCGAATCTGAAGGGATGTGAGGTACACGGCGCATCCGAGAAAGGGTCTAGTTGTTGCGCGCGCTTGAACTACGGCTCCTTGGACAAACAACCTCAATTCAGGAACAATCGAGAGAATTCTGAATGTGTCCGTGCGCATTTACAGGGAGGTGTACACCATTCAACATTGCGTTAACGGACTCTTCAGGGTTAAATTTATAAACATGTAACCTTTAAAGTTGAGAAACGCTAATCAATCACTTTTCTTAGAAAGAGAAAAGCAATGATTCCAAAATCTGCTCTTACTTTAGTACATACGCCCTTAAAAGGATATACAGCCGTTGAAATAGTGCCAATGTAGCGAAAAAGTGCCTTTCGGCGGTACTCGTGCGAAAATCCTCAACGTAGCCGTTTTTTTAATACTGGTCGTTTGGAGCAGTTCTAGCTAGCATTTGATAGAGCAAATCTTCTAGTTTCTGATGGCGTATTCACTTTTTGGATTGGATGAGTTTGAACGGAGTTATGGCTTTAGGAAGTAAAAAAACTCGCACTCATCACAAATTTTCCTCGTTAATTTTGCAGAAATCCTCAACGTGGCCATTTTTTGAATACTGGACGTATGAAGCTGCTTTAGCAACGGTTTGGTAGAGAAAATCTTCTAGTTTTGTATGACGTATCAACTTTTTGAATTTGACGGAAATGAAGCAAGTTATTGCTCCGGAAAGTGTAAAAACTCGTGCTCGTCTCAAATTTTCCTCGTTATTTGATCTAAATTTGTAATTTCTTATAACTTCCTGTAATTTCAGTACTGATTAGAAAAAGCTCTTCACAAAACTTCCAAATCTGCTTTCAGATTGAAAATTCGTCATATTTGAAGAAAGTTATAATTATTTGAATATTTGTTCAAGTTTCAATAGTAAATAAGCTGCTCCACGGTTAACGCCAAAGTCCAGTCAACACACAGCTGGCGAAGGCGGTTTAACACGTTGGCGCCCGCGTGCATTGCCGGGTATGCACGCAGAAACTCCCACATCTTACATTTGTGCATCGCCGGGTATGCACATCTATATTTTGCTCCCAAATAAACCTTTTCCAGTACTTTTTCGACGAATTGACTTTTGTTGGCCTCATGAATCTACAGAACACGTGGCATGTGGACAACTTCGATTCTACCGATTTATGACGCTTCGAAGGCATGAATCAGTTTTCAGAGATTCAACACTCAAAACAATCAGATTTCAATGAGCCTACGTATTGAACAAATTCTCATCAATTTTCTCATTCACAAAATTTCTATGCTATTTCGGCTTCAGAGTTTGAGCTTCCTTGGCAATTATAAACAAGTTGATATCAGAAAATTCTAATCAACAAGTCTATTAGTTACATACTTTTCAACAATCTCAACAGACAAGAAACAACGAAATTAACATTTTGAATGATATTTTTGGAAACAAATAAGGCAGTAGTATTTTCGACAACGACTGCATTTAGAGGAAACCTGCTTAGCTTTCTTTTTCTTGCTTGTAGAAAATACGCACGAAAACAAGTAAAGCACTTCTTGAACTAAAAAACTCGTGAAAACAAGCAAACTGATAAAAAAAGACTCAAATTCATATACAAAAATGGGCGCTCCCGCGCCTTTCGATGATTGCCCATGTGGGTCCCGCAACGAAAACCCAGAAAATGTCCCACATACGACATTTGAGCATCGCCGGGTATGCACGCACGCAATCCAGCCAATCACACATGTGCGACATGCGTCAAAATCGGCACGGGCGTCAATGTGTTAAAAAGCTTCTTTCAACTGAAGGGCTACGTGCAAATTGAGAACCACAATCTGTGTAGTACTAGAATTTGGTAAGTCTTGTGGAGGAAATAAATAAAGAACAGATGTTGTCATAGGTATGCCATTTTTAGTGGCTAGTTTGTCGTTTTCTGGTCTGTTTCTCGTTTGCTCGTTTGGTAGGACTCATCAATAATGATTATTCTTTGACTTTTTCACTTTTTTACTTCTTAAACGAATTTTTTTTGTGGGCGGTGGGGTAGCAGGGCTTTTTTATGAGCAGTTTTGGGGGAGAATTAAACAAGCTTTTTTTCATAGTTCGGCTTTTGAAGAGGGTTGTTTCATGGACTTCGGCCTCCGGCGGAGGGTGGTGGGGGGGGGGGTCGTATTTCCAAATTTTCCTCAACGCCTCGCTTGACCCTGGCTCCCCAAGCACTAGGGAGACGACACTATCGTGACCCAAAAGTGCGCGGCAATGGCGCTAAGGCCTTGCTCGCCGCGCTGCCAGCGTAATCCACCACGGCATACGTGGTCTCTGCGTCCTCTCGCGTACGACGTACTATCTCGCGTTCTCCCTCTCCTCGCAGCGCTGTGTCTCTCCGTCGTACTACGGCCGGCCTCCTAAGGGAAATTTAGTGTTTTCTATGGTGCTTTTTGCTTTTTCTCCTCACTAATGTTCCTCATTGCCTTGTTTTGTTTGTTAACTGCTGTTTTAACGCCGCAGTTCGCGTTGCGAATGTTTTGTCAATGTCAGGGGTTGCAACGTTCCTCATTGCAACCCTTGCCTAATGTTTGAACAAAATAAAGCATCAATTCAATCCCGACTCGTGCCTTTAAGTCAGGAAGTGTACTTCTGGGTGAAACTCGTGTTCGTGGGGCCACGGCGCTGTTCTCGTCTGCTCTACCAAGGCTCAGTCACCGATGACGCGTATTTTGAAACTGCCACATCATGGCGAAAGAGTGGCTGCCCCTGTGAACTAAGCCCTGGAGGAGCAGATGAACAGAGCGCCGCGACATCGCGTGCCTTCCCCGAACCCGTGTTTCACCTGCTTCTGATAACTGGTGGCCAGTGTATCGGTGTAGTTTGTTGAATTATTCCTGAGGTGGCCTGCAGCGGTCCAACGAAACGGTCCAGAGCAATGGTAATGGAGATCTTTACCTCGCCGTGGGGATGGAGCAGCTATGGGCAGGAGGTGTGGAGTGTACAATATATACCGGTCCTTATCTAAACGCTCCAAATGAGTCGCTCACATACTATCTTGCCCTAAATGTTAGAGAGGGTGCTCTCTGTACTAAGGATAAGATAGCAAGGAATGTCTTCCTCGAACTGAACCTTCTTCCTCCGGTATAGTATGTGCGAGTGCAGCTAACGAATACTGATGGAAATGTGGCACGTTCGTATGAGCGCTACCTACGAATGCTACCCTGGGAAGGATCCTATTCGTGCTCGTTCTATGAAGTGGGGCATGATTCTGCATCAGCGATGAGGAAGAGGACGGAAGAATGCAGAGAAGTCGGCGAATACATATGTTTGATTTCTGTATGCTTATTAGTCGTCGGCTCTAAATTATTTTTGCAAGCAGCAAATTAGTTTTTCTTCTGCTTGGCTCATTTATGAGGATTCCAAACGAGCCTCCACTCAACGGAATACTATAAACTGCCATCAGAAACGATAAATAGTCACAGTGGATTGCCGGAACTGTGACCCTCATTTAGCGGACCCTGCCGAATTCGTGGGGGAGAGATAAGCTCACTATCTGCAAACATGCAGATGACGTCACTGCTGTGGCAAAAGCGACGAGAAGACAAGAAAGGAAGCGTCGCTGTCACTCCGTTTGAACAGTAGAAGGGTTCTTGGCACTTCACCAACAGTGAAATGAGGCTCGATGGTGTCCACTACGTAATGGTATGAAGTATTGGCAGCGGTCCTGCTCCATCCCTCCCCGCCGCTGCGACGTCAAGTGATGTCACCCGTACACGCTCGCGTCCGTGCCACCGGTAAGGTATTCCATGGAGCCACGATTCGTGGCTCCAAAGGACTGCATGTGTTAAACACCGTTAATAAGACGACATGTTTGCGCCAAAAAGCCTGACAGAGCACCCATATCTTTGGAGACCAGCCAAGGTGAAGGACTAGGCTACTGTAGGACATACGAAAGGTCATTGGAAAAACAGCTCAGCAGACACAAAGAGCCCCAAAAGATGACTTTTACGCGAAGAGTATTTGTTGCACGTTTGTGAAGTGCATAGCTACTTAGGTGAAACGCAATCATAAATATTATAAACAAAAACATATAAAAACATATAAACATAAATAAAACGAAGAACTAATGCACGATGCTCG